TTTCGGACGGGATGTATGTGTGCTAGTGATTTACCGCCCCTCCTGAATCTCGGGGACGGGATGCCATGCTGCTAGCTTAGTGAGTAAAGTTTTCCCTATAATCTCAGGATGGTTTTGTCATGCTGCTATTTTAGTGGAGTACAGCTCCTCCTGATATCTCAGGGACTGGATGTCAGCTGAAAAGCTTAGTGAGACAGTTTCCTCCTGATATCTGGGGACTGGATGCCAGGGGCTAGCTTGGGTTTACAGCTTCCCCCTGTTTATCCCCAGGAGGGAATGCATGTAATAGCTTAGGGGTCCCGTTTCCCCCTGTTTATCTCGGGGACGGATTTTCATGCTGTTTAGTTAGTGAGGCAGGCTTCCTCCTGAATCTCAGGGAGGTGCCATGCTGCTAGTTAGTGAGTACCCTTTTCCTAAATTTCAGGAGGATGTCATGTGTTTAGCTTAGTGGAGAAACCGTTTCCTCCTGAATCTCGGGGAATGGATGCCATGCGGTAGTTTAAAGTGAGTACCGTTTCCTCCTGATATTCGGGATGGTTTTGTCATGTGCAGTTAGGGGGAGTACAGTTCCCTCCGATTCTCGGGGTTTGGATGCCATGCGGCAAGCTTGGAGGGCAGTTCCTCCTGTATCTCGGGACTGGAGGCCATGTGCTAGCTTAGTGAGTACAGTTTCCCTCCTGAGATCTCAGGATGGATGCCAGGGCTTATTAGTTAGTGGGTACAGCTTCCTCCTGATATCTCAGGACTGGATGTCATGCTGCGGGGTTTTAGTGAGTACGGGCTTCCCCCGATATTCGGGGATGGATGTCATTGCTGCAAGTTAGTGAGACAGCTTCCCCCTGATACTCGGGGAACTGGAGGGCCATGCGGGCTATTAGTGATTTCCCGTTTCCCCTCCTGATATCCCAGGACTGGATGCCAGGGTGCAGTTAGTGAGACCGTTTCCCTCCTGAATCTCGGTGGAGTCATGCTCCCAAGGGTTTGGGGAAGAAAAGTTTCCCTCCTGATATCTCAGGACTGGTTTGGCCATTTGCAGTTTAGTGAGTACCGCTTCCTCCTGATATCTCAGGACTGGATGTCATGCTGCTAGCTTAGTGAGAAACGCTTAATCCTTGTATCTCAGGTTTGGATGTCATGTTTGCTAGCTTGGTGGGGTACCGCTTCCCCCTGATATTCGGGGACGGAGTCATTGTTTAGTTTATTTGAGTACGCTTCCTCCTATATCTCGGGGATGGAGTCTTTCCCCTGCAACCCTTATTTGGGTAAAGTTCCCTCCTGATATCTCGGATGGATTTTCTGCTGCTAGCTTGGGTGAGTACCGCTTCCCCTGATATCTCGGGGACTGGTTGCCATCTGCTAGTTTAGTGAGTACAGTTTCCCTTCCTGTTTATCTCAGGACTGGATGAGGTTTGCTAGCTTAGGTGATTTAACCGTTTCCCCTCCTGTTTTATCTAAGGACTGGTTCCCTTGGCTAGTTTTATGAGTCCGCTTCCCCCCCTGAAAACTAAGGACTGGGTGTTTTTGTTTGGCTATTTAGTGGTAAGTTCCTTTCCTTTGATATTCAGGCCCGGATGTCATGCTGCAAGTTTAGTGAGTACAGCTTCCTCCTGATATCTCAGGACTGGATGTCATGCTGCAAGCTTAGTGAGTGCAGCTTCCTCCTGATTCGGCTCAAAACGTTGCTCGAACCCAGGACCTCTGCCTCGCAAACACACGTGACCACCCCTCCTGAAGCGTCTTACCCAGTTGCGCCACCGAAAAGCTATTCGGCAGCACAAGTGGAGACTCTTCAGGCTGAGGAGTGAGTTTTACAGATCCCCATCTGCTACATATGAATGTGTGTGGATGTGTGGTGGGTTGGTTGTCTGTGCTGAATGACCTGCCCGGGTCACTGTGGCCCAGCCTGAAACATGAAGTAAATTACAGACCACACTCATCCCTGCTGTTCTTTTCTTCTTGGACCTCCTCGATGCTGAACCATTCTCTCTCTCAATAGGTTTTTAGTCATGGCATACGATTTGCCAACCATCGTCACAAGTACCTGTAGTGTAGCCAAACATATGCTTTCAACACTACCTGTCATGGGGACTCATGGCCTATTGTTGCTGGTAATAAATGACAGAATGGTAATGTTGTTATTGTACATGTTCACATTATAATAAGCCTGCTGTGATACATAAGAGTTGCCTTCAAAAGTTAAGATGGCCTTTGTGTTAGTTAGTAGTAACACAAAAGAGGAATGAGTGGTAGGAGAAAAGGAGAGAGGGATTTAGAAGTCTCACCCACCAGCCGTCTCTCTCTCTCTGTCCAGACGTCTGTTTTCACAGCGGCTCAGAACGGGACTTGACCTGGAGTCTAGTGGCGAAAACAGCCGCTGGTTTAAATTGGATGATGTTTTTTCAGTCCATCACCAACTAGCGTAACCCAGAACCTCCCCCTCTACATTGTGGACTTCAAAGCCCGAGCAGCAAAGTGATTTAAACAAGGAAGTGAGTTCGGAAAATCGGAAAGTACGCATCTTAGAAATAGTTTCCGCATATAAACTTTATATGCCCGAACTCAGAATCAATTTTGGCTTCCCAAAAATAATATGTTCAAGGTGATTGAACATTTATTTTTCAAAATCCCATCTAATACAGCTGTAGCAGGCTCGCCACCTACCTGACCTCCATTTTAACCACATCCCTTTCAAGTTCCACTTTGTGGCACAGTGTTACCAGGCTCTATGCAAACACTAATACGAGCCTGAGGATGAGGTTAGGGATTTAGTAACTCTTTTTTATAGTAGTTTCTATGGAGAAAGTTGGAGGCGGTTTGAGGCTGTATGCTGCCTGTCCTGGTCCCTGTAATTAGTCTGTTGAGTTCAGCTCTTCTCTCTTCTTCTTCTCCTTCTCTGTTGAATAATACAAGTGGTTGTTGTTTGATGGGGGAAAAGGGGAAAGGTGGAAAGATTGGGCGGAGAGGGGGAGATTTGGGGGGGTTTTTTTTTTCTTTCTTTTTCCCCAAAAGGGAGAGAGGGGATTTCCCGCCCTTTTGGACCGGAAAGGAGAGGAATGGAATTTGGGGAAACCAAAAAAACAAAATCGAAAGGGGGAAAAATTGGGGCCTGGGCGCTCCCGGAGAATTTTCATTTAAGGGGGGGCGAGAAGAAAAGAGTTGGGCCGAAGGGGGACAGCCCCCTTAAACGCAGAGGAGGGGAAAAGGCCCCCCCCCGGGGAAAATGGTCGAAGAGAAAGACATTTATAAACCCCCAAAAAAAATATTCCCCCCCGAGCCCGGGTTTACGATGAGTTTCCTCTTTCTTCCCCCACCGCCCCTTAAAGATTGTTGAGACGGAAAAAACGGGGCCACCGCGAGAAATGGAACTCTTCGGGGAATCGGCCATTTCCCCCTTTGCCTCGCCAAGGCCCCCGTCCTTCCTTTTTAAAACCCCCCCTTTCCTTTTCCGGGGGGCCCCCCCCCCAATTTCCTGGCCCCCCCCTCTCCCACGCCTAACCCCCTCACCCCCCTTTTTAAACCCCCTACAGGAAGGGTGGCAAAAAAGGCGGGGGGGTTTAGAAGTATCCCTTTGCCCGAAAAGACAAGGTGACCAGAGACCCCTTGGCCCCCCCGGAATTCCTTTTTTTACACCCCAAAACAAGGGAGGAATCTCGGGCCCCCAAGCCCATCCCCCGATGTTGAAGTAATATGGGGGAAAGGGGAAACAGCTTTGGGTATTGGGTGGGAAGGGGTTGGGTTTCCATTGGGGCCCCCGCGAGGGGACTGCCCCCTCTCCCGAGAACCAAACGGGAGAGGGGGGGAAGGCCCCCCACCACCCCCGAATTTTTTTAGAGGGCGGGGGTTTTTTTTTTTAAAAGAAAATTTTTTTTTAGGGGGAAAATTTGACCGAGGGAACCCCAGGGGCTTTTTACCCGGGGGTCGGGGGTTGGGGAGAGAGAGAGGCAAGAGAGAGAGAGGGAGAGAGGGGAGAGGGGGAGAGAAGAAGGAGGGAGAGGAGGAGAGAAGAGAGAGAGAGGAGAGAGAGGGGGAAGCGAGAGAGAGACAAAGTAATTGATGGTCCTGTCTCCTCACTGCTCTGTCCACCACACTGCTCAATATCAATGAAACATTTAACACTAGCAGTAGACTCCCCCATGACACTCGCTTGCTGGGAAATAAAGTTGTACAACTTTACAAGTCTCTCTGACTGTCTCTGTCTGGTTCAACAGCCGCTTCCAGGGTCTCCTCTGATCTTCAGTTGAGTTGCTTCACAAATAACACCCTATTCCCTTTTATAGTGCACTACTTTAGACCAGAGGGCCCTGCTCAAAAGTAGTGCACTAAACAGAGAGTAGTATGCCATTTGGGATGCAGATATCAGTTTCTTCAGTTGGTTCCTTTGCCAGCAGGATTCAAATGTAGGTCTGCGTTTGGGGTCGTTACTGTCAGGTGGTGTTTGTGCATCCATTAAGAACGACCGAGGAAGAAACCAGGCCGGGACCCAAGCAAACCCCAATGTGATGACATCACACTACGCTTGCCTTTAAAGGCAATTTCCCTGATGTTTGCGGATAGTGTTTCTCTGGCCTAGGAATTTTCTGATAAACGATTTATCAACATAGAGGCAGTGAAACACATTTATTAAACTCAGCTGATGCTAATTTAATCTGACTTGGTCCTACTAGGCTCCTGAATGGAATTTGAATTTAACATATTGTGTATCTGTGGTCTCCAGGCAGAAGTCTGTGTGTGTTCTCTCTGTCTGTTTCAGGGTGCTGTATGAACATTAGAATAACATAGTCGCTTTAGAAACATAGAAACATTACAGATAAGCGTAGCTGGCCAGTCAGCATGGATGCAGAGATGTCATGTTGAATGTTTTGTGTACATCTCTCTCTCTCTCTCTCTCTCTCTCTCTCTCTCTCTCTCTCTCTCTCTCTCTCTCTCTCTCTCTCTCTCTCTCTCTCTCTCCAGCTTGTCATGTTTAATGTTTGTGTACCTCTCTCTCTTCCTCTCCAGGTTGTCAGGCTGACTTCTGGGGCCCCCACTGCACTAACCGGTGCCAGTGCCAGAACGGGGCCAAGTGTAACCCCATCACGGGGGCGTGTGTGTGTACGGACGGGTACCAGGGGTGGCGTTGCGAGGAGACATGCGAGGCGGGGCTCTATGGGAAGGGATGCCAGCTAGAGTGCCAGTGTCTCAATGGTGCCACCTGCCATCACGAGACCGGAGAGTGCCTCTGTGCACCGGGATACACAGGGGCTACGTGAGTGTCTGCCGCCTGTTTTAATACAGGGGTGACGTAACCCTTTAGTGTCCTCAGTCACCTTACGGTTTACTAGTTATCATATTTAGGGAGAGTGCCTCTGTGCACCCGGGATACACAGGGGCTACGTGAGTGTCTGCCGCCTGTTTTAATACAGGGGTGACCTAACCCTTTAGTGTCCTCAGTCACCTTACGGTTTACTAGTTATCATATTTAGGGAGAGTGCCTCTGTGCACCGGGATACACAGGGGCTACGTGAGTGTCTGCCGCCTGTTTTAATACAGGGGTGACCTAACCCTTTAGTGTCCTCAGTCACCTTACGGTTTACTAGTTATCATATTTAGGGAGAGTGCCTCTGTGAACCGGGATACACAGGGGCTACGTGAGTGTCTGCCGCCTGTTTTAATACAGGGGTGACCTAACCCTTTAGTGTCCTCAGTCACCTTACGGTTTACTAGTTATCATATTTAGGGAGAGTGCCTCTGTGAACCGGGATACACAGGGGCTATGTGAGTGTCTTCAGTCACCTCATCAATCTATGACCCAATGACTACCATTAAACCTACTGTTTACTGGTTATTGTGTAGGGGTTTGTCCTCACAACTATACATATATAACAACTATACATAGATATAACAACTATATATATATTTAACATCAATAAATATATACCCTATATACATACAGTGAGGGAAAAAAGTATTTGATCCCCTGCTGATTTTGTACGTTTGCCCACTGACAAAGAAATGATCAGTCTATAATTTTAATGGTAGGTTTATTTGAACAGTGAGAGACAGAATAACAACAAAAAATCCAGAAAACCATGTCAAAAATGTTATAAATTGATTTGCATTTTAATGAGGGAAATAAGTATTTGACCCCCTCTCAATCAGAAAGATTTCTGGCTCCCAGGTGTCTTTTATACAGGTAACGAGCTGAGATTAGGAGCACACTCTTAAAGGCAGTGCTCCTAATCTCAGCTTGTTACCTGTATAAAAGACACCTGTCCACAGAAGCAATCAATCAATCAGATTCCAAACTCTCCACCATGGCCAAGACCAAAGAGCTCTCCAAGGATTTCAGGGAGAAGATTGTAGACCTACACAAGGCTGGAATGGGCTACAAGACCATCGCCAAGCAGCTTGGTGAGAAGGTGACAACAGTTGGTGCGATTATTGGCAAATGGAAGAAACACAAAAGAACTGTCAATCTCCCTCGGCCTGGGGCTCCATGCAAGAGTTGCAATGATCATGAGAATGGTGAGGAATCAGCCCAGAACTACACGGGAGGATCTTGTCAATGATCTCAAGGCAGCTGGGACCATAGTCACCAAGAAAACAATTGGTAACACACTACGCCGTGAAGGACTGAAATTCTGCAGCGACCGCAAGGTCCCCCTGCTCAAGAAAGCACATATACAGGGCCGTCTGAAGTTTGCCAATGAACATCTGAATGATTCAGAGGAGAACTGGGTGAAAGTGTTGTGGTCAGATGAGACCAAAATCGAGCTCTTTGGCATCAACTCAACTCGCCGTGTTTGGAGGAGGAGGAATGCTGCCTATGACCCCAAGAACACCATCCCCACCGTCAAACATGGAGGTGGAAACATTATGCTTTGGGGGTGTTTTTCTGCTAAGGGGACAGGACAACTTCACCGCATCAAAGGGACGATGGACGGGGCCATGTACCGTCAACTCTTGGGTGAGAACCTCCTTCCCTCAGCCAGGGTATTGAAAATGGGTCATGGATGGGTATTCCAGAATGACAATGACCCAAAACACACAGCCAAGGCAACAAAGGAGTGGCTCAAGAAGAAGCACATTAAGGTCCTGGAGTGGCCTAGCCAGTCTCCAGACCTTAATCACATAGAAAATGTGTGGAGGGAGCTGAAGGTTCGAGTTGCCAAACGTCAGCCTCGAAACCTTAATGACTTGGAGAAGATCTGCAAAGAGGAGTGGAACAAAATCCCTCCTGAGATGTGTGCAAACCTGGTGGCCAACTACAAGAAACGTCTGACCTCTGTGATTGCCAACAAGGGCTTTGCCACCAAGTACTAAGTCAGGTTTTGGCAGAGGGGTCAAATACTTATTTCCCTCATTAAAATGCAAATCAATTTATAACATTTTTGACATGTGTTTTTCTGGATTTTTTGTTGTTATTCTGTCTCTCACTGTTCAAATAAACCTACCATTAAAATTATAGACTGATCATGTCTTTGTCAGTGGGCAAACGTACAAAATCAGCAGGGGATCAAATACTTTTTTCTCTAACTGTATATATAACAACTATACATATGTATAACAACTATACATATATATAACAACTATACATACATATAACAACTATACATACATATAACAACTATACATATATATACCAACTATACATAGTTATATATAACAACTATACATATTTATATATATAAACTATACATATATATATATATATATATATATATATATATATATACCAACTATACATATACACTACCGTTCAAATGTTTGGGGTCACTTAGAAATGTCCTTGTTTTCCATGAAAACATACATGAAATGAGTTTGAATAAGAAATATAGCAAAATGAATAGGAAATGTAGTCATTGACAAGGTTAGAAATAATGATTTTTAATTGAAATAATAATTGTGTCCTTCAAACTTTGTTTTCGTCAAAGAATCCTCCATTTGCAGCAATTACAGCCTTGCAGACCTTTGGCATTCTAGTTGTCAATTTGTTGAGGTAATCTGAAGAGATTTCACCCCATGCTTCCTGAAGCACCTCCCACAAGTTGGATTGGCTTGATGGGAACTTCTTACGTACCATACGGTCAAGCTGCTCCCACAACAGCTCAATAGGGTTGAGATCCGGTGACTGTGCTGGCCACTCCATTATAGACAGAATACCAGTGGACTGCTTCTTACCTAAATAGTTATTGCATAGTTTGGAGCTGTGCTTTGGGACATTGTCCTGTTGTAGGAGGAAATTGGCTCCAATCATGGCATGACGTTGCAAAATGGAGTGATAGCCTTCCTTCTTCAAGATCCCCTTTACCCTGTACAAATCTCCCACTTTACCACCACCAAAGCACCCCCAGACCATCACAATGCCTCCACCATTCTTGACAGATGGCATCAAGCACTCCTCCAGCATCTTTTCATTTGGTCTGCGTCTCACAAATGTTCTTCTTTGTGATCCGAACACCTCAAACTTCGATTCGTCTGTCCATAACACTTTATTCCAATCTTCCTCTGTCCAGTGTCTGTGTTCTTTTGCCCATCTTAATCTTTTCTTTTTATTGGCCAGTCTGAGATATGGCTTTTTCTTTGCAACTCTGCCTAGAGTTGACGTTGAGACTGGTGTTTTCTGGGTACTGTTTAATGAAGCTGCCAGTTGAGGACCTGTGAGGCGTCTGTTTCTCAAACTAGACACTGTAATGTATTTGTCCTCTTGCTCAGTTGTGCACCGGGGCCTCCCACTCCTCTTTCTATTCTGGTTAGAGCCAGTTTGCGCTGTTCTGTGAAGGGAGTAGTACATATCATTGTACGAGATCTTCAGTTTCTTGGCAATTTCTCGCATGGAATAGCCTTCCTTTCTCAGAACAAGAATAGACTGACGAGTTTCAGAAGAAAGTTATTTGTTTCTGGCCATTTTGAGCCTGTAATCGAACCCACAATTGCTGATGCTCCATATACTCAACTAGTCTCAAGAAGGCCAGTTTTATTGCTTCTTTAATCAGCACAACAGTTTTCAGCTGTGCTAACATAATTGCAAAAGGGTTTTCTAATGATCAATTAGCCTTTTAAAATGATAAACTTGGATTAGCAAACACAACGTGCCATTGGAACACCGGACTGATGGTTGCTGATAATGGGCCTCTGTACGCATATGTAGATATTCCATAAAAAATCAGCCGTTTCCAGCTACAATAGCCATTTACAACATTAACAATGTCTACACTGTATTTCTGATCAATTTGATGTTATTTTAATGGACAAAAAAATTGCTTTTCTTTCGAAAACAAGGACATTTCTAAGTGACCCCAAACTTTTGAACGGTAGTGTATATAAGTACTATACATACAGTGGGGAGAACAAGTATTTGATACACTGCCGATTTTGCAGGTTTTCCTACTTACAAAGCATGTAGAGGTCTGTAATTTTTATCATAGGTACACTTCAACTGTGAGAGACGGAATCTAAAAAAAATCTAAAACAAAAATCCAGAAAATCACATTGTATGATTTTTAAGTAATTAATTTGCATTTTATTGCATGACATAAGGATTTGATACATCAGAAAAGCAGAACTTAATATTTGGTACCTTTGTTTGCAATTACAGAGATCATATGTTTCCTGTAGGTCTTGACCAGGTTTGCACACACTGCAGCAGGGATTTTGGCCCACTCCTCCATACAGAACTTCTCCAGATCCTTCAGGTTTTCGGGGCTGTCGCTGGGCAATACGGACTTTCAGCTCCCTCCAAAGATTTTCTATTGGGTTCAGGTCTGGAGACTGGCTAGGCCACTCCAGGACCTTGAGATGCTTCTTACGGAGCCACTCCTTAGTTGCCCTGGCTGTGTGTTTCGGGTCATTGTCATGCTGGAAGACCCAGCCACGACCCATCTTCAATGCTCTTACTGAGGGAAGGAGGTTGTTGGCCAAGATCTCGCGATTCATGGCCCCATCCATCCTCCCCTCAATACGGTGTAGTCGTCCTGTCCCCTTTGCAGAAAAGCATCCCCAAAGAATGATGTTTCCACCTCCATGCTTCACGGTTGGGATGGTGTTCTTGGGGTTGTACTCATCCTTCTTCTTCCTCCAAACACGGTGAGCTGAGTTTAGACCAAAAAACTCTATTTTTGTCTCATCAGACCACATGACCTTCTCCCATTCCTCCTCTGGATCATCCAGATGGTCAATGGCAAACTTCAGACGGGCCTGGACATGCGCTGGCTTGAGCAGGGGGACCTTGCGTGCGCTGCAGGATTTTAATCCATGATGGCGTAGTGTGTTACTAATGGTTTTCTTTGAGACTGTGGTCCCAGCTCTCTTCAGGTCATTGACCAGGTCCTGCCGTGTAGTTCTGGGCTGATCCCTCACCTTCCTCATGATCATTGATGCCCCACGACGTGAGATCTTGCATGGAGCCCCAGACCGAGGGTGATTGGCCGTCATCTTGAACTTCTTCCATTTTCTAATAATTGCGCCAACAGTTGTTGCCTTCTCACCAAGCTGCTTGCCTATTGTCCTGTAGCCCATCCCAGCCTTGTGCAGGTCTACACTTTTATCCCTGATGTCCTTACACAGCTCTCTGGTCTTGGCCATTGTGGAGAGGTTGGAGTCTGTTTGATTGAGTGTGTGGACAGGTGTCTTTTATACAGGTAACGAGTTCAAACAGGTGTAGTTAATACAGGTAATGAGTGGAGAACAGGAGGGCTTCTTAAAGAAAAACTAACAGGTCTGTGAGAGCCGGAATTCTTACTGGTTGGTAGGTGATCAAATACTTATGTCATGCAATAAAATGCAAATTAATTACTTAAAAATCATAAAATGTGATTTTCTGGATTTTTGTTTAGATTCCGTCTCTCACAGTTGAAGTGTACCTATGATAAAAATTACAGACCTCTACATGCTTTGTAAGTAGGAAAACCTGCAAAATCGGCAGTGTATCAAATACTTGTTCTCCCCACTGTATATATACCAACTATACATACACTACCAGTCAAAAGTTTGGACACACCTACTCATTCAAGGGTTTTTCTTTATTTTTTACTATTTTTTACATTGCAGTGAAGACATCAAAACTATGAAATAACATATGTAATCATGTAGTAACCAAAATAGTGTTAAACAAATATTTTATATTTGAGATTCTTCAAATAGCCACCCTTTGCCTTGATGACAGCTTTGCACACTCTTGGCATTTTCTCAACCAGCTTTATGAGGTAGTCACCTGGAATGCATTTCAATTAACAGGTGTGCCTTCTTAAAAGTTAATTTGTGGAATTTCTTTCCTTCTTAATGCGTTTGAGCCAATCAGTTGTGTTGTGACAAGGTAGTGGGGTATAGAGAAGATAGCCCTATTTGGTAAAAGACCAAGTCCATTTTATGGCAAGAACAGCTCAAATAAGCAAAGAGAAACAACAGTCCATCATTACTTAAAGACATGAAGGTCAGTCAATACGGAACATTTCAAGAACTTTGAAAGTTTCTTAAAGTGCAGTCGCAGAAACCATCAAGCACTGTGATGAAACTGGCTCTCATGAGGACCGCCACAGGAATGGAAGACCCAGAGTTACCTCTGCTGCAGAGGATAAGTTCATTAGAGTTACCAGCTTCAGAAATTGCAGCCCAAGTAAATGCTTAAACAAGTTCAAGTAACGGACACATCTCAACATCAACTGTTCAGAGTGGACTGTGTGAATCAGGCCTTCATGGTCGAATTGCTGCAAAGAAACCACTACTAAAGGACACCAATAACAGAAAGAGACCTGCTTGGGCCAAGAAACACGAGCAATGGACATTAGACCTGTGGAAATATGTCCTTTGGTCTGGATTCCAAATTGGAGATTTTTGGTTCAAACCGCCGTGTCTTTGTGAGACGCGGTGTTAGTGAACGGATGATCTCCGCTTGTGTAGTTCCCACCGTAAAGCATGGAGGAGGAGGTGTTATGGGTGTGGGGGTGCTTTGCTGGTGACACTATCTGTGATTTATTTAGAATTCAAGGCACACTTAACCAGCATGGCTACCACAGCATTCTGCAGCGACATGCCATCCCATCTGGTTTGGGCTTAGTGGGACTATCATTTGTTTTTCAACAGGACAATGACCCAACAAACCTCCGAGCTGTGTAATGGGCTGTTTTACCAAGAAGGAGAGTGATGGAGTGCTGCATCAGAAGACCTGGCCTCCATAATCCCCCAACCTCAACCCAATTGAGATGGTTTGGGATGAGTCGGAAGGCAGAGTGAAGGAAAAGCAGCCAACAAGTGCTCAGCATATGTGGGAACTCCTTCAAGACTGTCTGGTCCCGTGTAGCTCAGTTGGTAGAGCATGGTGTTTGCAAAGCCAGGGTTGTGGGTTCGATTCCCACGGGGGGCCAGTATGAAAAATGTATGCACTCACTAACTGTAAGTCGCTCTGGATAAGAACGTCTGCTAAATGACTAAAAATGTAAAATGTAAAAGCATTCCAGGTGAAGCTGGTTGAGAGAATGTCAAGTGTGTGCAAAGCTGTCATCAAAGCAAAGGGTGGCTATTTGAAGAATCTCAAATATATTTTGATTTGTTTAACACTTTTTTGGTTACTACATGATTCCATATGTGTATTTCATAGTTTTGATGTCTTCACTATTATTCTACAATGTTAAAAAAATAGTAAAAATAAAAGAAAAAAAACACTTAGACTGGAAGATAGGGCTGTGTCCAAACTACTATACCATATATATACCAAACTATACATATACCGGAGCTGTTCAAGCTTGAAGTACCATGTCAACGCCAAACATGCGTTTGCTGGGCCGTCAGATTCAGCAAGTGGTTTGCGCCAGACCACGCTGAATGTTTGCAGGCAATTAACAAAATCAACCTCAGATAATTTGACCAACACAATAGCAAAATGGATTGCAAAGGATTGTAGACCCATTAGCATTGTAGAAGACTCAGGTTTCCTTGATGTTTTGCAAGTGGCGTCTCAAGACTCATTCTATAAGCCACCGTCAAGAGCCACAGTTATGAAGAAAATCCACGAGCTCTATGAAAACGAAAAAGAAAAAAGGAAAGAGGTCTTGGCTCAAGTAAATCATATCTTTATTTATCTTTTGGTATGCATTTCAGAAAAAAAATGGTTAGGATTCAGGTGTAATTGCAAATAGTGATTAATCATGATTAATCCACTGAAAATTCTGATTAATTTGATTAAAAATTTTAATCATTTGACAGCCCTAATATATATATATAACTACTATACATATATATACCAACTATATATATATAACTACTACACATATATATGTAACAACTATACACATATATATCAAGTATATATATATATATACAGTTGAAGTCTGAAGTTTACATACACTTAGGTTGGAGTCATTAAAACTCGTTTTTCAACCACTCCACAAATTTCTTCTTAACAAACTATAGTTTTGGCAAGTCGGTTAGGACATCTACTTTGTGCTTGACACAAGTAATTTTTCCAACAATTGTTTACAGACAGATTATTCCACTTATAATTCACTGTATCACAATTCCAGTGTGTCAGAAGTTTACATACACTAAGTTGACTGTGCCTTTAAACAGCTTGGAAAATTCCATAAAAGATGTCACGGCTTTAGAAGCTTCTGATAGGCTAATTGACATAATTTGAGTCAATTGGAGGTGTATCTGTGGATGTATTTCAAGGCCTACCTTCAAACTCAGTGCCTCTTTGCTTGACATCATGGGAAAATCAAAAGAAATCAGCCAAGACCTCAGAAAAATGTTTGTAGACCTCCACAAGTCTGGTCCATCCTTGGGAGCAATTTCCAAACGCCTGAAGGTACCACGTTCATCTGTACAAACAATAGTACGCAAGTATAAACACCATGGTACCACGCAGCCATCATACCGCTCAGGAAGGAGACGCGTTCTGTCTCCTAGAGATGAACGTACTTTGTTGCGAAAAGTGCAAATCAATCCCAGAACAACAGCAAAGGACCTTGTGAAGATGCTGGAGGAAACAGGTACAAAAGTATCTATATCCACAGTAAAACGAGTCCTATATCAACATAACCTGAAAGGCCGCTCAGCAAGGAAGAAGCCACTGCTCCAAAACCGCCATAAAAAAGCCAGACTACAGTTTGCAACTGCACATGGGGACATAGATCTTACTTTTTGGAGAAATGTCCTCTGGTCTAATGAAACAAAATAGAATTATTTGGCCATAATGACCATCGATATGTTTTGAGGAAAAAGGGCATACTTCCAAAGTTGTGGCAAAATGGCTTAAGGACAACCAAGTCAAGGTATTGGAGTGGCCATCACAAAGCCCTGACCTCAATCTTATAGAAAATGTGCTTGCAGAACTGAAAAAGCGTGTGCGAGCAAGGAGGCCTACAAACCTGACTCAGTTACACCAGCTCTGTCAGGAGGAATGGGACGAAATTCATCCAACTTATTGTGGGAAGCTTGTGGAAGGCTATCCAAAACATTTGACCCAAGTTAAACAATTTAAAGGCAATGCTACCAAATACTAATTGAGTGTATGTAAACTTCTGACCCACTGGGAATGTGATGAAAGAAATAAAAGCTGAAATAAATCATTCTCTATACTATTATTCATTTCACATTCTTAAAATAAAGTGGTGATCCTAACTGACCTAAGACAGGGAACTTTTACTAGGATTAAATGTCAGGAATTGTGAAAAACTGAGTTTAAATGTATTTGGCTAAGGTGTATGTAAACTTCCGACTTCAACTGTATATATATATATATATATATATATATATATATATATATATATACACACTACCAGTCATGTGTGGGTGCTTCAAGACAATACAGTAAACAGTTTAGATCTGACACCAGGCTATATGTGTGTGCTTCAAGACATTACATTAAACAGTTTAGATGTGTCTCGTGATGTCTCCACTGGTCTCTTCCTGTGTCACTTCAGCTGCGGTGAGCGGTGTCCCTCTGGTAGTCATGGCTCCCAGTGTGAGCTGCGTTGCCCGTGTCAGAACGGTGGAACGTGCCATCACGTCACGGGGGAGTGCTCCTGCCCCGCTGGATGGATGGTACGACCCAGACACCACACACCATTACACCATCACATACTCTCCTTTTCTACAGCTTCATTCACAATCCACAGCCTTCCACCCAGACAGCTTCATTCACAATCCACAGCCTTCTCCCAGACAGCTTTATTCACAAAACAGCCTTCTCCCAGACAGCTTTATTCACAATCCACAGCCTTCTCCCAGACAGCTTTATTCACAATCCACAGCCTTCTCCCAGACAGCTTTATTCACAATCCACAGCCTTCTCCCAGACATCTTTATTCACAATCCACAGCCTTCTCCCAGACAGCTTCGTTCTAGGTCCACAGCCTTCTCCCAGACAGCTTTATTCACAAAACAGCCTTCTCCCAGACAGTTTTATTCACGAAACAGCCTTCTCCCAGACAGCTTTATTCACAATCCACAGCCTTCTCCCAGACAGCTTTATTCACAATCCACAGCCTTCTCCCAGACAGCTTTATTCACAAAACAGCCTTCTCCCAGACAGCTTTATTCACAAAACAGCCTTCTCCCAGACAGCTTTATTCACAATCCACAGCCTTCTCCCAGACAGCTTTATTCACAATCCACAGCCTTCTCCCAGACAGCTTTATTCACAATCCACAGCCTTCTCCCAGACAGCTTTATTCACAATCCACAGCCTTCTCCCAGACAGCTTTATTCACAAAACAGCCTTCTCCCAGACAGCTTTATTCACAAAACAGCCTTCTCCCAGACAACTTTATTCACAAAACAGCCTTCTCCCAGACAGCTTTATTCACAAAACAGCCTTCTCCCAGACAGCTTTATTCACAAAACAGCCTTCTCCCAGACAGCTTTATTCACAAAACAGCCTTCTCCCAGACAGCTTTATTCACAAAACAGCCTTTCACAGACAGCTTTATTCACAAAACAGCCTTCTCCCAGACAGCTTTATTCACAAAACAGCCTTCTCCCAGACAGCTTTATTCACAATCCACAGCCTTCTCCCAGACAGCTTTATTCACAATCCACAGCCTTCTCCCAGACAGCTTTATTCACAATCCACAGCCTTCTCCCAGACAGCTTTATTCACAATCCACAGCCTTCTCCCAGACATCTTTATTCACAATCCACAGCCTTCTCCCAGACATCTTTATTCACAATCCACAGCCTTCTCCCAGACATCTTTATTCACAATCCACAGCCTTCTCTTTCACAGCCTCTACTGATGTAACCTTATATAAAACTAGCCTGCTCACAATATTGCTTTCTCTATAGTCTATTTTCTGAAGGCTGTGTTATTCAAACATTTCTACAAACTCTACTCTCAAACTTCTCAAACTTCTCAAACTTCTACAAAAAATATACAGAATTCCTGTTATTTACTATATGTTTCCACTAACTCTCAGGTGTTTTAAAACATTGCTGTACTTACTGTCCAACTCTACAGAGCCCACATGTAACTGTACCAACTTCCTAAGGGAGTGCACACACTGAATGTCGATCTGTCATGGGTGTTTGACTGACGACCCTTTTGGCGCGACTGTACATGTAGAATCGGTTTGCACTCGGTTTGAAAATTACTGCTGGTACTCTGTTCAGAGGTGCTAAGTGTTCTCGGCAGGCAAACGCTACCGGTGTTTCCTTTACTGTACTTCACACGCCACAAAATGTATCACAGACTACGGAGTCTACTCTGGTGACTGTTCTCAGAAACCACAAAATGTATCACAGACTACACAGTCTACTCTGGTGACTGTTCTCAGAAAACACAAAATGTATCACAGACTACGGAGTCTACTCTGGTGACTGTTCTCAGAAACCACAAAATGTATCACAGACTACGGAGTCTACTCTGGTGACTGTTCTCAGAAACCACAAAATGTATCACAGACTACACAGTCTACTCTGGTGACTGTTCTCAGAAACCACAAAATGTATCACAGACTACGGAGTCTACTCTGGTGACTGTTCTCAGAAACCACAAAATGTATCACAGACTACACAGTCTACTCTGGTGACTGTTCTCAGAAACCACAAACTGTATCACAGACTACGGAGTCTACTCTGGTGACTGTTCTCAGAAACCACAAACTGTATCACAGACTACACAGTCTACTCTGGTGACTGTTCTCAGAAATCCTTTCTAATTATATTATTAGAAATGTTCTAATGGTTTTTCATAATGACTTTCCAACTGCTGCATGTTGAGAGACATTTGGCTAGTCTACCCTGCATTTCTTCTGACTCCTTGTTGTGTGTGTGTGTGTGTGTGTGTGTGTGTGTGTGTGTGTGTGTGTGTGTGTGTGTGTGTGTGTGTGTGTGTGGTACATGCGTGTTTGTGTGTGTGTTTGTGGTCCTCAGGGCTCGGTGTGTGCCCAGCCTTGCCAGTTTGGCACCTACGGCATCAACTGCAGCCAGGAGTGCCCCTGCCGGAACGGAGGTCTGTGTGACCACATCAGTGGGCAGTGCCAATGCACCGCAGGCTATAGAGGAGAGAGGTAGGCCACTGGGCTTGGCATGGGAACTTCACCTCAAGTAGGACACTTCATCACCATGTGTGCACTGGCGAGAGAGAGAACAAACAGGAAAACAAACTAAATATACCTGATCAAATGCAAATCTTAGAATCAACTATTAAAGACTACCAGAACCCACTGGATTCTCCAATTACATTGAATGAACTACAGGACAAAATACAAACCCTCCAACCCAAAAACGGCCTGTGGTGTTGATGGTATCCTCAATGAAATGATAAAATATACAGACCACAAATTCCAATTGGCTATACTAAAACTCTTTAACATCATCCTTAGCGCTGGCATCTTCCCCAATATTTGGAACCAAGGACTGATCAGCCCAAGCCACAAAAGTGGAGACAAATTTGACCCCAATAACTACCGTGGGATATGCGTCAACAGCAACCTTAGGAAAATCCTCTGCATTATCATTAACAGCAGACTGAAAACAATGTACTGAGCAAATGTCAAATTGGCTTTTTATCAAATTACCATATGACAGACCACGTATTCACCCTGCACACCCTAATTGACAAACAAACAAACCAAGTCTTCTCATGCTTTGTTGATTTCAAAAAGCTTTTGACTCAATTTGGCATGAGGGTCTGCTATACAAATTGATGGAAAGTGGTGTTGGGGGAAAAACATACAACATTATAAAATCCATGTACACAAACAACAAGTGTGCGGTTAAAATTGGCAAAAAACACACACATTTCTTTCCACAGGGCCATGGGGTGAGACAGGGATGCAGTTTAAGCCCCACCCTCTTCAACATATATATCAACGAATTGGCGAGGGCACTAGAACAGTCTGCAGCACCCGGCTTCACCCTACTAGAATCTGAAGTCAAATGTCTACTGTTTGCTGATGATCTGGTGCTTCTGTCCCCAACCAAGGAGGGCCTACAGCAGCACCTAGATCTTCTGCACAGATTCTGTCAGACCTGGGCCCTGACAGTAAATCTCAGTAAGACAAAAATAATGGTGTTCCAAAAAAGGTCCAGTTTCCAGGACCACAAATACAAATTCCATCTAGACACCGTTGCCCTAGAGCACACAAAAAATGATACATACCTCGGCCTAAACATCAGCGCCACAGGTAACTTCCACAAAGCTGTGAACCATCTGAGAGACAAGGCAAGAAGGGCCTTCTATGCCATTAAAAGGAACATAAAATTTGACATACCAATTAGGATTTTGCTAAAAATACTTGAATCAGTTATATAACCCATTGCCCTTTATGGTTGTGAGGTCTGGGGTCCGCTCACCAACCAAGAATTCACAAAATGGGACAAACACCAAATTGAGACTCAGTGTACAACGAAAAACACAAAATAATGCATGCAGAGCAGAATTAGGTTGATACCCGCTAATTATCAAAATCCAGAAAAGAGCCGTTAAATTCTATAACCACTTAAAAGGAAGCGATTCCCAAACCTTCCATAACAAAGCCATCACCTACAGAGAGATTAACTTGGAGAAGAGTCCCCTAAGCAAGCTGGTCCTGGGGCTCTGTTCACAAACACGAACAGACCCCACAGAGCCCCAGGACAGCAACACAATTAGACCCAACCAACTAATGAGAAAACAAAAAGATAATTACTTGACACATTGGAAAGAATTAACAAAAAAATAGAGCAAACTAGAATGCTACTTGGCACTAAACAGAGAGTTCACAGTGGCAGAATACCTGACCACTGTGACTGACCCAAACTTAAGGAAAGCTTTGACTATGTACAGACTCAGTGAGCATAGCCTTGCTATTGAGAGAGGCCGCCGTAGGCAGACCTGGCTCTCAAGAGAAGACCGGCTATGTGCACACTGCCCACAAAATGAGGTGGAAACTGAGCTGCACTTCCTAACCTCCTGCCAAATGTATGACCATATTAGAGACACATATTTCCCTCAGATTACCCAGATCCACAAAGAATTCGAAAACAAACCCAATTTTGATAAACTCCCTTATCTACTGGGTGAAATACCACCGTGTGCCATCACAGCAGCAATATTTGTGACCTGTTGCCACAAGAAAAGGGCAACCAGTGAAGAACAATCACCATTGTAAATACAACCCATATTTATGTTTATTTATTTTCTCATTTGTACTTTAACTATTTGCACATTGTTACAACACTGTATATTGACATAATATGACATTTGAAATGTCTTTATTCTTTTGGAACTTCTGAGTGTAATGTTTACTGTTAATATTTATTGTTTATTTCACTTTTGTTTATTATCTACTTCACTTGATTTGGCAATGTTAACATACGTTTCCCATGCCAATAAAGTATTTAAATTGAAATTGAAGAGAGAGAGAGACAGATTAAGAGATTTACATTTTAGTCATTTAGCAGACGCTCTTATCCAGAGCAACTTACAGTTAGTGAGATTATTATTTTTTTTTTCATACTGCCCCCCCGTGGGAATCGAACCCACAACCCTGGCGTTGCAAACGCCATGCTCTACCAACTGAGCTACATCCCTGCCGACCATTCCCTCCCCTACCCTGGACGAATTGTGGGCCACCCCATGGGTCTCCTGGTCGCGGCCGGCTACGACAGAGCCATGATCTCTAGTGGCACAGCTAGCACTGCGATGCAGTGCCTTAGACCACTGCGCCACTCAGTTAAGATGAAGAGAGAGAGATGAGAGAGAGAGATGAAGAGAGAGAGAGAGAGAGATGGAGAGAGAGATGAGAGAGGAAGAGAGAGAGAGGAGAGAGATGAGAGAGAGAGATGAAGAGAGAGATGAAGAGAGAGAGATTAAGAGAGAGTGAGGAGAGAGAGATGACGCGAGAGAGATGAGGGAGAGATGAAGAGAGAAAGAGATAAGAGAGAGATGAGAGAGAGAGAGTAAGAGGAGAGAGAGAGAGAGAGATGAAGAGAGAAAGAGATGAAGAGAGAGAGATGAAGAGAGAGAGCTGAAGAGAGAGAGAGAGAGAGATGAAGAGAGAGAGAAGAGAGAGAGAGAGACGAGAGAGAGAGGAGAGAGATGAAAATAGAGAGGAGAGAGATGAAGAGAGAGAGACGAGAGAGAGATGAAGAGAGAGAGAGAGAGAGAGAGATGAAGAGAGAAAGAGATAAGAGAGAGAGAGAGAGGAGAGAGAGATGAAAATAGAGAGGAGAGAGAGATGAAAATAGAGAGAGAGACGAGAGAGAGATGAAAATAGAGAGGAGAGAGAGATGAAGAGAGAGAGAGAATGCACTCCGAGAGAATGAAGTAGAGAGAATGCATGGCCGGCTACAGCACTGGGCATGGGAAACATACGCAGACAGACAGGACACGTCATCACTATGCGTGGCCACCCGTAATGGAAGCTATCACTGTGTGTAGACCTACAGTACCAGTCAAAAGTTTGGACACACCTACTCATTCCAGGGTTTTTCTTTATTTGTACTATTTTCTACATTGTAGAATAATAGTGAAGACATCAAAACTAGGAAATAACACATATGGAATCATGTAGTAACCAAAAAAGTGTTAAACAAATCAAAATATATTTTTGATTTGAGATTCTTCAAATAGCCACCCATTTGCCGTGATGACAGCTTTGCACACTTTTGGCATTTTCTCAACCAGCTTCACCTGGAATGCTTTTCCAACAGTCTTGAAGGAGTTGCCATATATGCTGAGCACCTGTTAGCTGCTTTTCCTTCACTCTGTGGTCCGACTCATCCCAAACCATCTCAATTGGGTTGAGGTCTGGGGATTGTGGAGGCCAGGTCATCTGATGCAGCACTCCATCACTCTCCTTCTTGGTCAAATAGCCCTTACACAGCCTGGAGGTGTGTTGGGTCATTGTCCTGTTGAAAAACAAATGATAGTCCCACTAAGCCAAAACCAGATGGAATGGCATATCACTGCAGAATGCTGTGGTAGCCATGCTGGTTAAGTGTCACCAGCAAAGCACCCCCACACCATAACACCTCCTCCTCCATGCTTTACGGTGGGAAATACACATGCGGAGATCATCTGTTCATCCACACTGCGTCTCACAAAGCCACGGCGGCTGGAACCAAAAATCTCCAATTTAGACTCCAGACCAAAGGACACATCTCCATCAGTCTAATGTCCATTGCTCGTGTTTCTTGGCCCACGCAAGTCTCTTCTTCTTATTGGTGTCCTTTAGTAACTGAGCCTCAGAACCAGCTGGCTGAGGGGACTCTTCTCTTGTTTCATCTCTTGACATAGTAGAGCTGTGTGATGGAATGTTTCGGGGTCACTTGTTTTTAGATGGTTGTAAAATTTGATGGCTCTTTTGTCTATTTGAATAAGGAGGGGGTATTGGCCCAATTCTGCTCTACATGCATTATTTGGAGTTTTTCTTTGCACTTGCAATACAGTCTTGCAAAACTCTGCATGCAGTATTTCGATTGGATGTTTGTCCCATTTGGTATATTCAGTATTAGAGAGCGGACCCCATACTTCGCTGCCATAGAGAGCAATTGGTTCTATAACTGATTGGAAAATGTTGAGCCAGATTCTAATTGGAATTTCGATTTTAATATTCCTTTTAATGGCATAGAATGCTCTTCTTGCTTTGTCTCTCAGCTCATTCACAGCCATGTGAAAGCTACCTGTGTTGCTGATATTTAGTCCTAGATATGTGTAATTTTTGGTGTGTTCTAATAGAACTGTGTCCAAATAGAATTTATATTTGTCATCCTGATTTCCGGACCTTTTTTGGAATATCATTATATTAGTTTTTTTTAGATTAACGGTCAGGGCCCAGGTCTGACAGAATCTGTGCAGATGATCTAGATGCTGCTGTAACCCCTCCTTAGTGGGAGACAGTAGCACCAGGTCATCTGCGTACAGCAGACACTTGATTTCAGTGTTGTGTAGGGTGAGACCAGGTGCTGCCGATTCTTCTAATGTTTTTGCCAATTCGTTAATGTAGATGTTAAATAGTGTTGGACTTATTGGGCAGCCCTGTTTCACTCCACGTCCCTGAGAGAAGAAGTCTGTTTGCTTGTTG